GGAAGGAAAGAATGGTAATTAAACTTACTTTGCTGAGATTGGTGTCCGCACATCTTGTCCTAAAGACAATAATTTCGCCAAAACCGAAAACCCTCCAACAGCTTGAAATACCACGATGTCATTGTTCTCTCCTTTCGTCAGAATTCTATTTAGTTCATTTAAAATTCTATCCAATTGACTAGAAGTGGATGGGGACCATCCCTGATTCGCCTGATTTGTTATACTACCAATTGTGTTCACGTTTCTATTTAACGTACGTTTATTAGAACATTCTATCACAGGTGGTTTGTAAGACGTTTCGAATTCGGCCCCTTTTACACTCATGCGCTGTCGAATCTTTTTACATCGTTTTCGATAAGCTTTGCCACGTTCTTTGGCTGCAGTGTCTTTAGGATCTATTTTATCGGCCGGAGCATCTACGATTTGTTTTAGATTGAATTGTTCAACATCATTTGGTGTCATTTGGGGCTTTTCTACGTTCGCTTGCTTTACAGCTTCTTGGTGCATACGACCCCGGAGATGGCTCATTAAATATACCTCGGATTTTATCTAAAATAAAATTCTGTTGTAGGCTTTTTAAGGGGACGCGTAATTTATACTCTTACCAAAACGTTACAGACAGTGCAGAACTTTTTCGTTGGATATAATGTGTTATTTGGTGCTTGGCTATCATCACTGTGACATCTGTGGATTGACAATTCTAGTGCTTTCTGCCTTATTTGCTCCATGTTTTCTTCGTGTCTTCTGGCTGATTCTTCTTGTTTTTGCTCTATACGTTTTTGAAGTTCTTTTGTAGAGGCGATCTGTTGAGCCTGAAGAGCTTGAAGTCGTTCCTATAATAATTTTTTGCATTTTATTAATTATTCTTTTTCACTTATAGGTGGGACATAAGTAACGGAGTTGCACAAATAATTAGTTTGTACCTCTCGATCTCTGGCTTTTTCCCTTGCAAGTTCTTGTCGTTCTTTTTCTCGTTGCTGCTGCTGTTGCAACTGCCTTTCATCTCTCTGTCTCCTTTCATCTTGCAGACGATCCAACCTTTCCAACCGTTCTTTTTCCAAGGCCCTACGCCTTTCTTCAACAGCAGCCTCTTTGGCAGCCTTTTCTTCTTGCCTCTTTTTGCGATCCTCGTGAATACCTTGAATTCTACCCCTCTGTTCTCGACAATGTTGCAAAAAATCGTGTCTAAAAAATAGAAGAAAATAAATAAATAATAATGAATAAGTTAGGAAACAAATAATCTTACCTTTTATTTTGAGCTTCTAATTCGTTAATAAAAGCGATTTCTTTAAGTTTTTCTTCCTCGTCATGTGCCTTTCTTATTATTCCTCTAATATGTTTTTTTCTGTTTTGAGCAGCCCTCTGCATTCTAAACCAAAAAAATGTTATAAAATCAGGCAAATTTTTCCTTAGCGTAAATAGGTTGATAGTTACCTTATTTCCATTCTTTTTCGCTTTTCTTCAATCAACTGTAGTTTAGCAGCTTTAACGTCCTCAACCCTTGCTAATAGTGTTTGCAACTTAAACGCCCTCTCTTGTTGTAAAACTTGTCTTCGTTGTTGAGCCCTTGCATGCTTTACTTGATATTTTCTCAGAGTTTCTTGCAGAGTTACGCGCCTTGCTGGATTTGAAAGTTTTTGATGCAATTCCAAAGCCCTACCAGGATGTCTTGCTACTAAAGCTTCGAGAGCTGCCAAAGTGTCTACTCTTTCTCCCCAAGACATTCCTATAAAATAATTAAAAATAATAAACTTATTCCATTATGTTCTTAAATATGGAATTTAAAAGTTTATGTGTAATAGAAGAATATTACCTTCTAACATAGGCTCATATCTTGCTTCCAATGATAATTTATCGTCTTCAATAGTATTTTGTCCGTCACTCTCCTCGTTATCTCCAGGAAGTTCGCCGTCAGTTTCTGTTCCGTCTGTTTCTGTATCTACTTCTATCTCAAGTCCCTGTAGATGAGCAATTTCTTGTGTCAGTCTTTCCTCTTCTTCTAAAAGCTGTTGCGCTTTTTTTGTATCTTCTTCTTCACTTACAAAATCGTCTGCATTTTCTGGTAAATCATGAGTTTCTTTTACTCTTTCATCGTCAGTTTCTGAATCAACTTCTAAAATTTTCTCCTCTTTGGTCACAACAGGTTTTGAGATTCCCCTATCAGTTTGTTTGATTGAGACAGAAGCGGGTCTATCACAAAATAAATTATTTTCGGGTCTGTTGACACTCATTCTACTTAGAGTGGTATAAGATCTTCTTGTAAGAAACTTTGGTTTTGATGTTAACGCTTTTTCAACTGTAAGCTTTGCGTCAGAACTTCCAGAACTCCTCGACTCTGAACTTTTGGAGCTTAGTTCAATGGTTTTTAATGATTTTAGCATGTTAAAACTGTCCTTCAAGGACTTGTTGATAGGTTTTGGAGAGGCTTTTTTCTCATTATTTTCTGGTAGTAGTGCTAAGGCGGGTAAACTTGCTGTAGCACTGATTTGATGAAAACGTGTGGCCCAGTAAGTTACAGTCTCTGATTTTTTTGGTTTTCCTGTTGGATTTTTAAATCTCGATCGACATCTCACAGTCAACCAGCCATCTGAATGCAAACTATTCATTTTATCCTGTTGTTGTTCACTACTGATTGTTTCTGAAGAACTAACAAAGTCTTCCACATTTTCAGTAGACATGTTTTTATTTACTATAGTTTCTGCAGAAGAGCTTAGCTCATTAGACAAAGATTTGCGCAATCTAGCCTTTTTACCTTCTGTTGGTTGGTATTTTAATTGACTCTTATCTAATGGTTTTATTTCTGGTTTTGTTGTTCCTTTTAAAGTGATTCTTGATGGGTGAACCAGGTGACGGGGAGGAGCAGAATTTATCGGTTTAAAGTCACCAACTGTTTTACTACGGGATAAATTAGAGCTTCTGGATATTGCTGGTCGTTTATTCGAAGTTAGAGTAGTAGAGGGAACTGCTGAAACTGTACGAGAGGTAGCAGACCTGATTGCATTTGAGCTTGAAGTGGTTAAAACTTTTTGCGTTGTGGTATTTGTAGTGGTTGGTCTGCTGTTTGGTCTATTAACAGTAGCTACTTTTGATGCTACTGTTTTTGTTACTGCAGAAGAATATGCAGGTCTTGTAAAAAGTGATGGTTTTGCCAGGCGGGGAGCTTCTGCTTTTGCAGTTAAGGGTGTTGGTTTTCCCACAGGAGGAACAGAAGATTGAATTTTCTTTTCCAAATCATCAGTTTGGCAATCCTGATTGACTTTTACAGCCGACTTTTTAGGTAACTTTACAAAATCTTCAGTTGTTGTGCTTTTATCTACTGTTACAACACCAAATTTCCTATAGACATCATACGTTCTTTGATCTTCACTTGGAGAATCAATGTTTTTAGTGTCAGAATTATTGTCTCTAACAGGTGTTTCAGTAATTTCTGGAATGATACTGGCTTTAGAAATTTCTTTATTAGATTGAAGAACAGTTGTATGATTTAAATCATCTTTTGCATTGGCATTTTCAACAGTTTTCTCTATCACAATAGAGGGTAATGCTTCATTCTTCTCTAGGCTTCCTATAATTCTTGGACTTTGAGGTGAAATTTTAGGAGAACATTTTTCATCAGTAACTGAAATATTTGTTAATTCATTACCCTCCAAACTTTTATCTGAATAAACATCCATCTCTTCTATATTCATCTGAATTTCATCATTTTGCTGTGTTTTATTTATTTTAATAGTTTCTGATATTTGGGAGATACAATTTTCAGTAGCATACTTCTGCAAGGTTTCTTCAATTTTCTGTACCATTTCATCTTTTGTTTCACTTACTAAGTTTGCTTTTCTTTCATCAATATCTGGAGGTTTGTCATTTAGGATTGCATTTTCAGGAATGGGTAGTGGGCTGGTGGGAAGAGATCCTGTTTTCTTAGTTCCCAAAGGTTTTGGACTTGCTTTTCCTGATACACTTGGGCTACTTCTACCAGAACTAACACTAGGACTTGACTTTCCTGAGCGACTAGTTTTTGTTAGATTGGTCTTTGAGACATCCCAGGCTAGTGATGTAGGTCTCTGGGGTACAGGTGTATTTTCATATTCCCACTTCAACCTAAACCACTCTGCCAAGGCTTGAAAGTCTCTCAAGTAGTTTTCAAGAACTAATAGTACTTCCTGACATTCAGGGAGACTTTCATGAGTTTCAACAGTATTGTATATTTCAGCAATCTGAAAAATTAATGTACAAATAAAATTATTATTTCTTTAGTAATCAACTTTTAATATTAATAAACAATAAGCAATGCTATCCCTGGCTCATATAAGGACAATATTCATAACAAGAAGAATATTCCATTTACCTATAGTTACCTGTCATTAACCTTTAGGATTAGGTCAGCATTTATGAACTGGTTGAAAGTGGTTATAACTGCTTTTAAGAGTGAGTTCAACTGATTCATTTAAAAAATGATTATATCAATGCTTTAAAAATGTAACACTTACTGATCTTTTTAAATTTCCAAATAATAATGCCCAATATCTAGCTCTCAAATCTGATTTTTTATCTCTACCAGTGGAAGCAGATCGAACTCTGGCTCCTGTATGATTTCTTAAATTTCCAAAAGATCTCCCTTTATCGCTTCTACGATGTTCTATAAATTTCGGGGGGCAAGGGGGTTTACGAGCTATTTTTCCTAGAATAAAGAAACTATGTTAGGGTAACTTTAATATATGAAATATTACTTACCAGTATCAAATGTGTTATCAGCAGAAATATTAAATGTAAGAAGATTTCTTGCATCTCTTCCTTGCTGTTGCACTAAAAGTCTAAATTGTTCCATTGTTATTTTCCTTAGAATTCAAATTCCGTCACAAATGCAAATGTTTTGACTGTTTTGACAATTCTCAATGATTGTCCATATGATTGTCAAAGCCAAACAGTTGTCAATATTGCTTCAAATTCAAAGAATAGGATATCTTGGAGATTTATATTTAAATATATACAAGGCTGTTTGTAAGGTGGCCTAACAATATAGGCGTTTTTGGAAAATTATACTTTGTACCATCATGGTACACGTATTATAAATATTTATACCCTGTTACGATCATGATAAATTGCTGCAAAAAGGGAGCAGTTCTTATCAATTAAGAAGTTCAAGTAATTAATACATACGTGAAATAAATTTTATATACATTTATTATTTTCAGGTAGTCATAATGAAAATATTTACTATAAAAGAAATATGAAAAAATTTTTAGTAGAAACAAACACCAAATAATTGAAAAACTCGCTGATTATGTTCAAAAGTTAACTATTCCTTCCATCTGGCCTAACGCGCCTTAGCTACATGTGGATCCAAATCAGTAGTTCTATTTAAAATTAGTATAAAACGCAGCTTTTAAACTAATTTACTGTTTTGAATGCTTTATTAACAGTTTTAATACATATATTATCAATACAACAGCATAATTTAAATCAACAAAATAGCAATTATAAATTTTGCGTAATTGTTATTTAAATTTTGTTGCAACGATGTACACCCTTCTACAGCATCGCGGGTGACTGACTTAGGTATGCAAGATTCATTGATATAAATTGGCTTGAAGCAAATACATGCATCTGATTGGCTATTACATTGGCGGCCATTATGTTTATCCAAAAAGACTAGGTCAAGGTCAATGCACCTGCACTTGAAGAATGTAGAAATACTATTATTAGGCGCCACTTATAAGAATTAAGATAGGGAAACTTCAAAAGGGGATAACTGAGTTATTTTAATGCGGTTTTCACCACACAATTGCAAATTTCAGCAACCATAATTAGGTGTAATTCTGTTAGAATCAGATTTCGAAGGCATAACAATTTGCCACTTGTTGTCATCATTAATTTTGCAAGTTTCTCATCCATTTCCAGATTAGTTTAATTATTGTAATGAGTTTAAATGCACATGAATAAATACTTATACATATAAAAATCACATTTTAATGTCGAAGGATGCAGATTTTATTACGATAATAATGTTATTCAGAGTTGATTTTTTTATTTTTTAAGATTTCTTGTAACAAAGAAAAACATAAGAACGTATGAATTGTAGTTTTACACCTACATACATATATATACACACATGGTATACCTACAGGGAGTTCTATTTAAAGAAGAAAAGAAATAAGATACTAAAGAAAATCAAACGTACTAAGTGGCAGAGAGTATATATTATATAGAAGAATTTGTAATGCTATTAAGTATTAGTGAAGATATTTTGTATTAGAAATTAATATTTCATGCCCAAATTTTAAAACAGAAAACATGTATTGCAAACTTTTTAAATAGAAATTATATTTTTGCTTACGAAGTTTTTCGTATTTTGCTTAACTCTTTCTTGTGACCTCGTTATGCATCAATTTTTACATTATCACTTTAGACAAATCTTTCTTACC